TAGCTTCTAAATATTTAGTTATAGGTCTATTATTATTAGATACTTTATTTATTTTAGTTATAAATTTTCCTTTTAAATAGGATTTATAAGGTATATCTTGTTTTATAAACTTATTTTTATTATTATTAATAATAGTAGAAGTATTTAAGTAAGGAAGCAAAGAATAGGCTATATGTCTTAGTCTATTATGCTACAGTATAGCTATTTCTTTATCTTTATTAGTATTACTTATACTATTTATCTTATTATTTCTTTCTTTATATATTATAGTATTATTATTACTATTATTATTTAGTATAAGTAAATTAAAATAGTATAAGTTATTAACTTTCTCTCCTATAAATAGAAGTTTATTTTATTTAATATTATAAAGTATAGGTTTATTATTATAGAATATAGAGGCTATTCCTATATTATCTAGTTTATTTTAACTTAGTAAATTTAAGCCTAACTTAGGAACATAATATATATCTTTAAGTATAAATATATTATTATTAATATTTATTTTTAAATCTCCTTTATATCTTACTATAAGAGATTCTACTTCTCCCTATTTTATTTCTTCTTTAATAGAAGTTATATTAAATAAGTATTTAATATTACTTATAGTATATATTGTAGTAGCTGTATTAAGGTAAAATAATAATTTATTCTAATTCTTAGATATAATTTATTTTATTTCCCCTAGTTTTTCCTTAATTAAATTACCTAGGGTTATTTTATTAGTATTATTATTATTATTATTATTATTAGGTATAATACTTATATTTTTAAAAGGAATATTATTATAGGCCTTAGGATTATAAGCAGGAGGAGTATCTCCTTTAGAGAAAAGGCTTATATTAATATCTATTTCTTTATTATCCTTATTAGTAGTTATATTAACTACTTTATCTCCCTTCTTATTTTCCTTATTCTTTTACTATTTAGGCGCTTTTTCTAGATATAAGAAAGCATAATTACTTTCTATATAGTTAGTTTTCTTATAATTTCTATAAAATAAACCCTTCTCTTTTTTCTATAGTTTTTTATTTACCCTATTACTTTTAAAAGCTTAGGTTATAGCTATAATATTAGATCCTTTCTTTCTTTTATATTTATCTAGAAGGCTAGAAAATAGTATATCTAGATTATAAGAATTAGGATCTTATTAAAGGCTTTAGGTTATATTAGTTATAAAACCCTTATAACTATTATCTAGGCTATTTAAAACCTAGGTAATAATTACCTTCTTAGGTATTTCTAGCTTATTATTAGCTAGGTTATTAGTTAATTCTTTAACCTTAGTAAGGTATTTTTCTATAGTATTAAAATCCTCTAAAGAGGTATTAAAGAATTCCTTATAGGTTAAGAATTTATTTATAAAGCCCTTAGGCTTATATAGATTAGCTAGCTTCTTCTAGGCTTCTAAGGCACTAGTATAGTCTTTAATAACTCTTAAAGGCCTATTAGAACAGTATAACTAAATAAAAGCTAAAGCTTTATTATTATTATTCTTATTTTCCTTAGAAAAAGGCTTATTAAGATTAATAATAATCTCTTTAGATATAAGGAGGGCCTAGATTTAAACTACCTAAGTAGTATAGTTAATAGTTCTATTAAGGCGTAAAAGGTTTATCTTTAAATCTATTTTAATAGATATTACTTTTAGTAGAAGGTCTTAATATAGTCTAGTTAGTTATTAGTTAAATATTTAATCTTAAAGATCTAGAGGTTATAGGTTTAAATCTTATTAAAGTTGTCTTTTTAAACATTTCTTTTAGTATTTAAAGAGCTAGGCTTATAACCTTTTAGAGGTAATAAGAGGTAATATAAAGATAAGAGATAAGAGATAAGATAAGATAGGAGATAGGAGATAAGGAATATAGTTATAATATAGTATATTATATTTCTTACTTATATAACTAAGACTAACTATCTAGATAGAGAGAGAAAAAAGGATTATTTATACTTATTTTCCTAAGGTTATCTTAGATTTCTAGAGACTTCTTCTAGATTCTAGGTTATTAACTAGGTTTATTTATTAGGTTATTATTTAGTTAGGTTATTAATCTAATACACTTTACTTATATAGTTTACTTAGTGTGTTTTACTACTAAAGTAACTCCTTAGGAGAATAGTGCTCTTCTTAGAAGTACTATTCTTTATATAGTAATATTCTTATCTTTTATAATATATAGTAGAATTTAGAGTAGTTATATAGTTATAGAGTGTATATAGTGTATATAGTATTATTAATACTATAATATATATTATACTTATATTTAATTCTACTTTATTATTTATAGGTTTTATATAAGGTATTAAAGCTTAATACCTAATAGTTATATCTAATTCTACTTTATTATTTTAGGTTTTCTATAAGGTTTTAAAGCTTACTACTTAATACTATTTAAGCTTAAAATAAATATCTAAAGATATAAATAAGAAGACAATTTCTTTCTTAGAAGTAAAAGTACTAAAACTAATCTTCTTAGTAAACAGAAGGACATTATTAAATATTTAACTATATAGTAATAAAAGCCTTTAATTTCTAGGTTTATAGTAGTATAATAGAAAATCTATGTATTTAAGCTAATAAAGTTAAGCTTAACAGCCCTCTTAGCTAATCTTAGGCCACGTCTAGCTTAATTCTTTTAGCTTACTAGCTGTTTTTAAAAGATAAAATATTAGTTTAAAGTTACTTTTTATAATAAGAGGCTTATATATATATATAGTAAATACTATTAGCTACACTATATACTATATTACATAGACAAGCTTAAGAACCCCCTTTATATAGGCCCTCTACCTATAAGATTCTTCTTCTTATAATTTAAGCCTTTTCTTTACTTATTTATATATCCCTATCTGCCGTGTGCTCTAGCTTGTGAGACTTTTGTATTATACATGCTATAAGTTGGTTTCCTCTTGGTATTCCTGATGCACGCATCTCTATTGGGCTTGCATTTGGAGAATCAGGTCTCTCGAAAATGGAAAAAATAATTACAGACATTTGGGGTCAGGAGCTAGACATCCCTCCAGGTGAGGCAAATTCCCTGCGTTGTATACACCTTTCACGCGCTGACCTTGGTGATAGCTTCTATTGGCTTGGAGGATGACTTTATCTCCATGGGAGGCGATTCATATCGTGCCATGAAGGCAGCACGACGCTGTCGACAGGCTGGTATCGGGGTTTCGACAGTTGACATCCTTTCTGAAGCAACTGTCGCTGGGCTCGCACGTTCTCTCAAGGCCAAGAAGAATGCTGTAGCCTCTAGCGGCACAGGTCCAAGCCACGACGACTATGATTCCATCTCAATCGACAACGACGAGGAACCATTCTTCCTAAACCTCCATGAACTGAGATTACCGCCTGACATAAACCCGGACAATATCGCCTATGCCATGCCGTGCACACCAATGCAGGAGGACTACTATCACCTCTTCTCAGCAGAATTGGCCCCTGAGAGACCTGGGATCATGACCAGCTGCTACGAGATTACCCGACGAGCAGGTCTGGGAACCGTTGACCCCTACAGGGCGGCCAGGGCGTGGCAGGCCATGGCGGACCACCACCACATGTTGCGCACGCGTTTTGTGCCGCTGGCTGAGTTGGGTGTGGCATCCGGGTCTTGCGGTCCACTTCCTCCAAAGACTGTCATGCAGCTTGTCATGCGGCGGTGGCCCCTTGATTGTGCTGTCATCCGTGTTGACTCGGATAGCGAGCATGATTTGAGGCAGTACAGCGAAGTGCACACGGCCAACATGATGTACAGAGCGAAGCCCGCCACGAACTTTTCGGTCCGTCTCTTCGTCACACCCACACAGCGCGTCTACATGAACCTTGTCCTATGGCACATCTCGGCCGACTTTGTGTCCACCGGAATTTTCAGAGCTGACTTTGATCGGTTCTATCGTGGGGTGTTGCCGACCCGCCCGGCTCCCGGCTTTGATCTGTACGTCCACGACCTCGGGCTCGCGACGCGCCGCGGCCAGACGGCCGTGGATTCTGACAGCCAGTACTGGATCAACTATCTCACCGGCGCCGAGCCGTGCTGGCTCCAGCCCCAACATTTGGGCGTCGTCGACCGGCGCCCTTCTCAGTCATCAGCGTACCTGGATCCTGACGGCAAGGAGCTCACCAGCGTGACGAACCTGGGCAGGGCATCATGTCGCCTGCGCGTCACCGGACCGGCCGCCGCCTACTGCCGCAGATGCCGTGTTCTATCGTCGACAATCCTCCGTTTCGTGTACGCCCTGACCCTATGGAGGTATACGGGCCAGAAGGACGTGTGCTTCTCCTACCTCATCTCGGACCGCGACCGCGACATCCCCAACATCGAGGGCATCTTTGGTATGATCATGACATATCTCTATGCGAGAATTGAGGTGGTCCCGTCTGCACGGTTGACCGTGTCGTTGCAAAAGCTTCATCGCGATGACCTGGTCCACAGAAGACACTTGTTGTACCGTCCAGCAGATGTCGCTCGCTCCCTCGGCCACGACAAGCTCCGAGACCACTCTGGCGTGCTCCCGGTGACAAACGTGCGCTTCAACGATCGCCGTCTCGACATACCACAGGGACTCGAGCTAGACTATCGTGGCGTTCTTGCCAACCTTGTGCAAGAGGCACGTATTACCACTCTGCCCTTTTCGTTTCCAACCATGCCGCTGACCGTGATGCAGCTGTTCGTCTCATTGATCGTCGTACCTGAGTGGAATGAAGACTGGGTGACTGTGAATATCACTTACAAGAGGGTTCTGTTTTCGGAGGAGAGCATGCAGAGATTCGCCGACACATATGCTGACATCTTCTACGCCGTCGCATCGGGGGCATGCGACACCGTCGCGGATGTCATAGCACACATCGAGAAAGAAATCCCGAACACGAAGAAGAGCCTAATAGGATAGGAGAAAAGTAAATTAAAATCTTTCGATTCCGGTTGCTATGAGTTTCAAGTTGCATGGGCGTGTATATTCGTGACCGTACGAAACTAAATACTAAACATATATGGAAGCCTATCGTCTCTTACAAACCACATAGAAGTCACTTATGGAAGCACAGGACCTGTCATCTTCTATCCATCGTCTCCAGCCCTCCTGTAGCTCTGCCATGTTTATGTCCTGTCCGATTCCCCTGGCCTCCTCCTCGACCTGGACTCGGGCATGGGTATCGGCGCTGGTGCGAGCGACCAACCCCCCCCACTGTTCGCGCTCGTTCCGTGACGATATGACCCAGGGCGTCTGTCCCACTCGGATGTCGTCGTGCTCAAAGCCCTGTAAGCAGTAATGGTATCTCAGCAAAAAGCCTTGCCTACTCGCTCATGGCCGACCATCTGAGGGCAAAAAGGGAAAGGTGTGGCACTGCGTGAGTGAGGGCCTTACCGCTGCTATCGCGTACGTCTTCAGCTTCCTGCCAACGAACGGATCGCCCCCCTTGGCCTGCATGATCCGGCTGATCACGTCGTAGATCCGTCGGATCTATTACAAACTGAGTCCAGAGGCTCTCATGGGGCTCTCAAGCAAGTTCGGTTTAGAAATCACCTACTGGCAAGCTCTCCGGCCACAACGTGAGGCAGTTTCTGTCTGCCTCCTTACAGCACACAAAGCCGCCAACCTTGACCGCAGAGCGCAGCTCCCTCAAGGCCCGAGGCGCGTCCGTCGTATGCATCAGGACGTTGTGCGTATGCGCTGTTCATACGGGATACATGTCAGCGGGGTTTCTCGTAGTATGCTAGTAGCGCGGATAGAGAGGTCGGTTCGTGTCGTTTTTGTGTCCTCACCAATATCGCATCCGCCATCGACGAGCTCGAAGCCGGGCTCACTGGCCGTGGAGGTTAGGTCCAGGGCATCACCCACAGCAAAGTGAATGTTGTCAACTTTGGCTTCTCGGGCAGAGTCTTGGGCGTGGGCGATAACACTCGAGCTGCCGTCGATGGCGAGTATGACAGCCGAGGGGTACCGCCTGGCGATATCGATGGTGATGCTGGCCGGGCCCTAACGCGGCATGTCATCTTAAGCAGCGAGGAGGGCGATCTTAGGTTACGGCACACTTACGCATCCGACATCGAGAAAAGTGAAATCGGGAGGGAGAGAGTCTAGCACCGGAACAAGATAGGCTACTGAATTGGACAATGTTCGGTTCGAGATATGAGCGTGTATAGTTGCAATGCTGTGTCCCAGATAATTCCTGGTTGAGTCTAGAGATGTCATTCTTGAAATACAATACGAGTACTTCTGGTGTCTTGATTACCTGAATGGCTTCAAGAATTGGTTTGAGGCTAGTGGTAGGACCAACAGGTTTCCTGTCTTATCTTGCTGTTTGGATGAGAAATCGAGCCACGATTGGGGGCATTAGCTTTTGTTCAAATCCCGTTCTCGTACAAAGATACTATAGACAGATATGAGTTATAACAAAAGCTTCTACACATCACTGTCCGTCCCCTTATTGTTTGTTTGTTTGAGTATTTAACGCCTGGACGTCCCTGTCAAGGGCAGAGGGCGCTCAAGTGGACTACTGACTGCAACTAAAATACACGTTTCGCCTGCTGGAACAGTCGATCGCTCCTCCGCTGCCGTCCTTCGCCTTGGTGTCCGTCCCCTTAGTAGCATCTGTTGTGACACATCTAAAAAAGTATCAATAACAATGAGTATATCTGTAACATGGATATAAAGCAATATTTTTCGACCCACTCATTGGAAACCAAGACTGGCTATATCAATTCCACTGCTCTAATCAAAATAATCCATCTTGAAATTTAGGTAGATTCCACACTAGTTTCACGGCAATCTCACCACCAACTACCTACCTACAGCATCCTACCCCCGACAGTTTGACAGGTACATATACCATCACATGGAAGTGAAAACGACCCTTTTGGTTTACGCCACAAATCCTAGATAGATTGGCATAGTCAACTCGAATGAGAAACAAACCTAGCGGGCCGGCCGGAACCTAAACTCTGTACCCAGCGTGCGCAGCATTATGCCCGCCCACCCCGGGCCTATACTTTATGACCAGCGACACCATTCCGGAAACTTTGAAGAGCGTAGCAGGGGTGCCCGTCGAGTGGTTGGTTGGTCACAGACTTTAACCTCAGAAAAACTACCATGCAGGAATGTGGACTCAAGGAAGAGTCAAGATCAATGAGCGCGGTTCAGTGACCAAAGTAGACGTCCTTGACCGGGGTCAGCTTCCGTCAAAAGTAAGAGGCACGTTGTTGGGTGGAAAGAAATAGTACGCGACGGAGAAAAAACCCTCTGCACGCATATGCGTTTTGCTGCTCAAGCGCGTAGCTCAATCATCGTTGTTCTCCCTCCAGCTCTGAAACCGATAACCTATCCGTGATGCCAAATCACATCTATGGTCCCCAGGAGGTGGATGGTTGTCGTGACTCGGACGACAAGGGCTCAGCCTCCAGCGCCACCACCCTGCTGCTCGATAACGTCCAGTCCGCCGACTGGAAGCCGAGAGATGTTTGGAGCCTCAACTATCTACTGAGAAACGACGGTTCACGGTGTCGATGCGGCCACTTGACTAATCTGCTACTCCTCATATCTGCGTGCCTCAACGTGTACCTGGCATTGGGACTCCCGCCACGGGTCGTGACGCATCACGACGTCGACGTGGGGTGCGGCGCCTTTCCCCTAGGGACGGATCCTTCTGGCTATGTCCCACGCGGTAAGATATCTATGCCCTACCCTCACCCATGAACCATGGAGCAAGAGAAGGCATCTGATGACGACGGTGACGGAATAGATGTTGGCTACCCACTTCGCTGGACCAAGTGGAACGAGGAAGACCAGTTCTACGTATCGCCCGCGACCTTTGACAGCTGGGAGAACATACAAGAGTCAGCGGCGCGTCTAAGAGAAGTCCACAACGGTGAGTATCGCACCTCAGTCACAGCCCGATGATTCAAGACCTTGCTCTGACGGTAGACAAAAAAACGCGCAGATGTATTTTTTCACTCCCAGGGCCACAAAGCAACGTATCTCGCCTATGACGGCGTTCGCAAGGAGCTGCCCCCTGAAGGAACCCAGTTCGGCCTGGAGCTTTACGGCATACAGGCCTTCCATCAAATTCATTGCGTGGTATGCCGCCCTTACTTCATCGATCCTCTTGATTCTACTAAGGCTGATACTACATGCAAGTATGTACTCCTCGAGTCGGTCGGCTGGGCGCGACACAACCGCTCCTCTCAATGGCACGGCGAGCACGTCGCCCACTGCCTCAACACGCTGACCCAGGCGGCAACCTGTCTTGCGGACTCGCGGCCCTTTGCCTATGTCGTGCAGAGCGGCCACCGCACCGACGGCCAGCAGAACTGGTGCCGTGACTTCGGCGCCCTGGTGGACTGGGTCAACGACCCGGTACGCGACCTCAACTTCCATTACGAGCTGGACTGGAATGACACCGACCATTTCATGCCCATCTACCGCAACGGCTCCATTGCAGGAAAGTCGGTTGAAAAGAGGGTCTGGTAAGCAGAAGGATGGGTTGCTTCAGCATGGCCTTTCCAGTAAAGAAGGCTATCTTGAGCTGTATTGGTCATTCCTCTGTGCGCCCACCTGATGATCAAGCTGTCTCATATGTACTCGTCGACACGCAGAGGGAATGCTACGGAGAGGGACCAAGGGTGAGGTAGCTCTGTTGCTATTTGACATATAACCAGCACTGCAAGGCCGAAGCTAGTAGCAGAGCATAACAATGACACATGGCCAACGATGGTTTCTGTTCAAGTGATGAAGGTCATTATGGTTGAAAAGACGAGATTGGATAGTTGTACAATATGCATGCCCTGAAATGAACCGGATAAGTCAAACTACCCACTTTCCGCCCACCCCTTGTTTGGGCCTCAGGCACCGAGAAGTGGGGACTGAGGCACACAGGGATAACAAGGGGGATTCTTAGGCTCCCACCACTTAGTAGAAAACCTAGATCAGACATCCCTAAATTACTCACTCATTTTATATAGGGTTTTGTCCCTTTAATTCCGCTCCAACTTTTTCTGGTCTCTCCTTCTAGAAACTACTTAAAAGATAGGGCTATTACTTACTTTTACTTTATTAATACTAATTAATTTAGCTTTAACCTTAAAAAGCTAGTTTTACACTTTAGAACCCTTATTATATTAGGAGTAAGTTATTAAAGCTAATAAGCTGCTATTATAGTAGAATATAGTTAACCTTTATCTCTACCCTCTTATAAAGATATTAAAGACTAGTAGATACCTTTTATACTATACTTTATAAGGATTTATACTATTAGCCTAGAGTTATTATCTCTAACTATATAACTACTATTAGAATTAAAATACTTACTAGTAGTATAGTTATTATCTTTTAGTGCTAATTAGTAATATCTTAGCTAGCTATTTATTACCTTATTAGGGTAGATATTATAGACCTCTTTAATTAATAAAGTAGTATTACTACCCTTTATACCTTTTAGTACTATATTTTTTATACTAACCTATAATCTTAGTAGGAACTACTTTATGTTATTAAAGCAGGAGGCCTCTTTTCCTTAGGAAATAACCCCTATAGATATAACTATATAGCGCCTTTAGGAATTTACTTTTTTAGAGCCTATATAATAGTAGGGGCTAACTAGTAGCACGCCACCTTTATATTATTATTCTATATTAACCTCTTTACACCTACCCCTTTTTCAAATAATATATAGTAATCTTAACCCTATAAAAGGTACTAGCCCTTAGACGCCTTTTAACTTTTACTTTAATATTAGGAGATTATAGTTAAAGCTATTAGAAATAAACTAAAAAAACGTATAAGGAGTATATAATAGAGAGAGCTTATATTATTATTAGACCTATTATTAGAACTCTTAACTAAGAGCCTATTAGTAATAAGGTTATCTTCCTCCTAATAGTATAAGTAATATATAATAATCCTATTAGGGAGGTAGCTATTAGGGCTAATAATAGGCTCCTAACCTATACCCTTAATAAGGCTACTACTAACAGCAGCCTCTAGTACTAGTTAGTTAGGATTAGTATTAAGTACTGTCTTTAGTAGTCCTACCTATTATACTAAGCTTTACTAGATTCCTAACTTTTAGTAGTAAGACTTCTATTTTATAATAGTTATTATAACTTTACTTTAAGTTTAAAAGGTTATAGATTTAACCTTATATATTTCTAGACTAAGTTATTAAAGCTATTAATATATTTTATAATAGTAAGGCTATAAGCTTTCTAGATAATTCTAGCTAACTTTCTAATATTATTTATACTGCCTAATAAGGACTAACTACTAATATTAACCTTAATAAGATTAAAGTAGCACTAAAGAAGTAGTTCTTACTATAGCTTAATAATAAGCTAGAGGAGATAGCTAATATCTAGACGTTATACTAGAAGCTAAATAAACTATTACCTATATATTATAACTAAGCTTATGCTTTCCTTAAGCGTACTAGTAGATATAACCTAATAAGTAGTAGTATTTTATCCCTAGTAAAGATAACTATACTTAAGTAACTAATCTAATAATTTATAGAAGGTATTTATAAGGAGGATCTTTAGGCTATAGTAGTAGATTACTTTACTAGTTAAGCTTTAAGTCTTTAGGAGTTATATAACGCTATTTAACTTACTTAGTCTATACTAAGTAATTATTACTAGTAAGAGTAAGCTTAGATTAAATAAGACTATACTACTATATTAGAGTAGATCCTAATTAGTTAGAATAATAGTTAGCTACTTAATAAAATTATTTAGTAGTAGTATAGGTCTATAGTAGGTATACTAGTATCTAATAAGGGGATCCTTTTACTCCTTACCCCTATATTATTATATTTATTATACTAGGTTACTATACTACTAGTAATAGCTTCTTCTGCCCTACTTCCTTAGTATAATTAAGCTTACTAGACCTATTTAGGTAATAATAAGATAAGATAAAGTATCTATACTTAACTACTAATATTATAACTAATAGCGCTAACAGCTTAGCCTTATATAGTAGTAATAAATAATAATTAGAGACAGTAAGGCTCTAGAGATACTTAGAATTAAGGCTACTAAAGTGCCCTACTTAGCCCCTAGTTAATAGGACTATATAGACCTCCCTAGTAGAATTTAGGCTAGAATTAAGCAAATTAGTCCTAGGCCCCTTTATATAGACCTCTATAGACTTAAGGCCAGACAGGCCTTAATACCTAGAATACTTATTAGACTAGTCCTACTAATATAAACCTATATCCTTTAAGTAATAATACCCCCTAGGCTATAAGGCCTTATTAATAACTAGTAAATAGATAGTCTAGTCTAGCTATTAGATAATAACCTCTAGTAGCACCTATAAACTAAGGGTTTAATACTATTAATCCTAATCTCCTAAACCTACCTAACTAGACTACTTCTTAAAACCTATTTATAAATAGGTCTTATATATTTAGCTAGGAGTAGAACCCTATAGTTATGTTATATATTAAGTATAGCTATAAAGGTTATAAATTACTAGAATATAATAACTAACTATTAGTTATATAGAAGTAAGCTATTCTATAAAGTATTACTCTCTTATTTTTATAGAGTTAGAATAAAGGAAAGTTCTTACTTACTAAGTAGATTAATATCTACTTAGTATAGATTTATTTATATAATATTATTTAGTATAAAGTACACTTAGACTTTAAGGCAGGAGATAACCTATTTAATAACTAGGATTAGATAGAAAGCCTTACTATAGATAATCTAGCACTATATAGCTTAGTTAATAGCTATATTATAGAGCTTATAGTCCCTAAGAGATATTCTAGTTAAAGCTTTAGCGCTAATAGTTTAGTCCTAGTTTTAGTAGAAGTCTAGGCTACTATAATATTAAATAATATAAGTAGTTAGGTCTTAGATATACTTACTAACCTTAATATAGACCCTACTTATTAAGTCTAGTTATTAGCTAACCTAATAAGAGCTACTTTATTAGTTAATAGCTATACTAGTAGAATAATATCCTAGAAGGACGTAGTCCTTAGCCTATTAGATAGAGGTATTTAGAAGCAGAATTATAAATAATAATTAGCAGTATAAAGGAAACAGAGCTAAGATTAGGTAACCTAGAGATAAAGTATTTAGGACTATTATTTAGCCTAGAGTTATAAAGGCTAAGTAGACTTAGATAATAATAAGTTAGCTACCCTAGTTAATAATAATAGATTAAAAGCTACTACTTAGGTTTAGTATTAGGAGACTTTTTACCCTCTACTAGTTTCCTAAGTTTATTAGTAACTATTACTATCTTAAGGACTATTATTAGTGCTAATAAGTCTATACTATCCTATAACTATTTTATTAAGTTTACTTTTAAACCCTAGCTAAGACTAACCCTATACTAAGTTAAAAAAGAAGATTTAGAAGCGCTAGACAGGTTTAAGCCTAATTATTAGTAGATAAGGAGAAGGAGTATTTAATTAGATTAGTCTAGCCTATAAGATTATAATCCCCCTAAGTCTTATAGACTTCTAGTAGATTAGCCTATAAGGTAGTAAAGAGTTCTAACACTTATTTACTTAACTATATAGTAAGAAGGGGTCCTAGTAGGATTAGAACTAACTAGTAAAAGCTAATATTATATAGCCCTTAGGTTAGCTAGACTTTAATCTTAGTACTAATATTATTACTACTTTAAACCTAACTACTAGCACTAACTAACTTAGTAAGGTCTATTTATAGATAAGACTATTTTAAGTTAACTATATTATGTCTATTAGTAAGTAGAAAAGAATTTAGTTAGCTTTACCTTAGGACTTTATATAAGCTAATTAGGGCTTTAAGTTAAATCTTATCTTACTAAGACTAGTTAAGCAGTATAATCTACTTATCTACTTACTATAAGGAATTAGATTTAATAGGCTCTAGATTTCTACTGCTAATAATTAAGCTATTCTAATAGAGCACTTTATAGCTATTAACATTAAGACTTTTAGTATTTAGAGGGAGATCTAGGTATATATAAGACTAAAGAGGTAATATACTAGAAGTGTTAAATTACTTCTAGGCCTACTATAGTTATAGGCAGTAGATATATAGATCTAAATTTAATAGGTAGTTCTCTAGATTAGGGATATATTTATAGGAGAAAAAGTTATTAATATTTCTAGTCTAGTTATAGCTTCTAATTTATCTTAGCGCCTAGTATTAGGTCTAGAGTCTGTAGATGTCTACTAATAGGTTCTATTAGATCTAGACTAATAATTAGATAACGCTTCTCTTAATTCTAACTCTAATTAGGAAGATTTATTAACTCCCTCCTCTTCTTTAAACTAACTAACTAGAGGTAGTCTAGGCCTGTTAACAGTTATAATATAGTAGACCTAAGGGCTTTAGAAGAATCTAGAGATATAAGTGTAGGCTTTTCCTATCTTTTACTTCCTTTATTATAGCTTATAGCTTATACCTCTAAGCTTATAGCTATAGATAATATGTAATAGTAGCACTATTATTACTAAACACTAAGTG